TGAAATGGAGCACAAAGATGATTGTCTTTTAAATTGACATTTTATATATATATATAAAAAAATAGACATATTGTTTTGCTCCAAATGTATAAGCTAGTTTTTCTTCACTTGAGCGTAGAGATCCTCTGAACGATCAGCAGACACTTTGACCGGAGCGTACACCGTCTCCTGCTGTTGTCTGTCCTCCACTGAGACGGCGGAGGCTGCAGGTCTCCTCGGGAGGAAGTTCACTTCACCATAGTGGATTTCTTCGTCTGGCTTCTTCTCTGGAGTTTGAACCTCCATCTCTGTATGAGTCTGAGGGGAAAATGACAATTATGTTTCACACAGATGGAAACACTAACGTAACAGATGCAACTCACTACAGTGCTGCACATAAAAGTTGAACATTTACTCACCAGAGTCTGTTGTGCAGATGGATGTTTGAACTTAAACCACCTGGAAGACATTAGACATCTGTGAGCATCTTTATGATACATCTCAGGAGAAATGAAAAGACGCAAACTGATTTGAGGCAAATATTAGAGGATTAATGAATATATAAAATCACCAAAACAAAGAAAGGTCTGGGCAACTATTTTTTTCTTTTACAGAGATCAAGTTTCAGTTGTACACAAAAAAGGGAAAAAATTAACAAACAAAAATGTGCACCTCTCTACAATGCCACGTAAAGATATCAACAAAGAATATTTTTCTCTGTACCATCCACCTTGCTTATATTAATTTATTTGCTATAAAGGAAGAGTCACCTGATGCAGAAACAAGCTTGAATTTTGCAAAGACTTCAGGGTTGATTGCATTATTTCATTGTCTTCTATTCTCTCAAAAATGTGGGATTTTTACATCATTAAATATGACAAGTTCTAATTAGCATTTAATGCATATCCCTGCTATTTAACACAAACTCTATATTTAGTGATAATACACAATGATAAAATCCTCAAATTTTATCAAGCATATATTCTGCATGAAACAGATGATGACTAAATGCTAACAATGATAAAACTTAAACATGTTCATCATCTAAAACGCATCAATTGATGACACTCACCAAACACAGATCACCAGGCAGATCAGCAAAATGACACCGATTGATGCAAGTAGTGCAGTCCAAAACGAAACGTTCCCTGCTGCAATAAAAGACAAACTACGTGAGTCCAAGGAAAGAAATTGGGATTATAAAAGAGGAAGTACAAATTATATGGAGATTTGTTACATAGAATTTTAGAGAAATTTAATAAATGTTTCCCGTTGAGTATCTTTTAATACCAGTTGTGAATTACCTTCATTGATAACTAGGATCACAGATGATCTGGTTTGACCCAGATGATTTGTAGCCACACAGTGAAACTCTCCTCCCTCAGTAGCGTTGATTATGTAAACCTGCTCCACAGACACATTAGTGGCTCCATCTTTGCTGATACTGAACCAGGTGAATCTGGGTGGAGGTTTGGCTCTGCTGGAGCAGCTCAGCTCCACCCAGCTACCTGCTGACACCAAACCTGATGGACTGATGGATGCTGAGGTGTTTCTAGGAGCATCTGAGGAAAATGAGACACATGAACTTTATTGATCACAAACAGCTGAACCATGACCTGCTGACAGGATCACTTACATGAAACACTGAGAGTCACTTCTGTCTCTGCTGTCTTGATTCCTCCAATCACAGGATATCTGGCAGAACATCTGATGTTGTATCCATCATGTGTGTCTGACAGAGTGATGGTCTCCTGGATTTTAGTTGTAAAGGTTCCATCTGTGTTTTTCTCTGTTTGTCTGAGAGAGTCTTGTTGGAGATTCCAGGTGAGTTGAGGAGGTGAGTGTGGACAGGGAGTGAAAGCTGAGCAGGTTACAGTGACAGACTGATGCTCCTTCAGGTCAGAGGGAACATTAATACTGGGACTCCAAGGAGAATCTGGAGTTTCACAAAAATAGTAAAATAGTTAGTCTCAAATGATTTCCGAATGTACTTTGACACTTTTAACCATTTAAAGCCTCCATGCAATTAGTTTTTTATTTTTTTTTTTATTTTCTGTATTTCTTGAAGCTCGGGAGTAACTAAACAACTGTCTGGTAATCATTTTCTATGTATTTCTCTTAAGATAAAAAAAATTATCTAGTA